ACTCAGGAGGCTGAGGAGGGAGGATTGCTTGAGCTGGTGAGGCAGAGGTTGCAGTGAGCCGAGATTGCACCACTGCATTCCAGCCTGGATGGCTGAGTGAGACCCCGTCTCAAAGGAAAAAATAAAAAAAAAATAAGGCCGAGTGCAGTGGCTCACACCTGTAATCCCAGCACTTTGGGAGGCTGAGGCAGGTGGGTCATCTGAGAGATGGAGTCTCTCTCTCACCCAGGGTGGAGTGCAGTGGCACAATCCCAGCTCACTGCAACCTCCACCTCCTGGGTTCAAGCGATTCTCCTGTCTCAGCCTCCCAAATAGCTGGGATTTCAGGCATGCACCACCATGCCTGGCTAATTTTTTGTATTTTTAGTAGAGATGGGGTTTCACCATGTTGGCCAGGCTGGTCTCGAACTCCTGACCTCAGGTGATCCACCCTCCTTGGCCTCCCAAAGTGCTGGGGTTACAGGTGTGAGCCACCACACCCGGCCATGGGAGGCATTTCTATGGACTCACTTGTCTTCTTGCAAGCGACTCTGTGTCCATGGCATGCATTATGTGTGTGCATGTGTGTGAACATGTCTCCAGCTGTGACTATAACTGCATAGCGAGGTATGGGCATGTGTATGCATTTCAGCCTGTGAGTGTAGGTTCAGACACAGGCCATCGTGGGCACCCTGGAGTGAGCTCGCACCCAACCTCACGAGTCCGATTGGGAAAGGGTGTCTGCCTGCAACCTGCGGTGACCACTGCCAACTCTTCCACTCACCGTCGTCCAAGGAACACACACACGTATCCTGGCGTCCAGTCCTGAGTGTGGGAGCCCAGAACGGCCTGTGCCAGCTGACTGAGCCTTGGCGCCCTGTGACTACTCCCTCCTGACCCAGCATGAACTGGAAGGGGTCTGGGGAGCTGGGGGTGTTGCATCCCCCGGTTCCCCCAACCCAGTTTTCCCCAGGGACTGACCAGCCAGACACCGACAATTCAAGTCTCCTAGCCAGACTGTGGCTCTTCCACTCTGAGCCTCAGTCTCTTCTTCGGGAAAATGGGACAACGGCATCTTCCTCACGGAACCACTGTAAGTTTATAGGTGTTTACAGTTGAGTCCCAGAGGAGATTGAATCAACCTACCCAGCTGCTATTATTAATTCAATGAAACAGCAGCCTTTGAAGCCAATTCCTGTACATCCCTGGCTTTGGTCAGGGAGACTGTGGAGTACTTTGATAAATGACAACAACAATACCAACTGCAATAGTAATAACAACAGGAGAGGGCTGGGTACGGTGGCTCCCACCTGTAATCCCAACACTTTGGGAGGCCGAGGCTGGAGGATCACTTAAGGCCAGGAATTTGAGACCAGCCTGGGTAATATAGTGAGACCCCATTTCTACAAAAAAAAAAAAAAAAAAAGTAACAAATAACTAGGCATGGTGGTGTGCACCTTTAGTCCCAGCTACTCAGGAGGCTGAGGCTGGAGGATTGCTTGAACCCAGGAGGTCGAGGCTGCAGTGAGCCATGGTCATGCCACTGCACTCCAGCCTGGGCAAGAGAGCATGACCCTGCTTCTTTTTTTGTTCTATATATATATATATATATATATATACAGAGAGAGAGAGAGAGAGAGAGAGAGAGAGAGAGAGAGAGAGAGAGCAGTGGCAGGATCTCTGCTCACTGCAACCTCCGCCTCCTGGGTTCAAGTGATTCTCCTGCCTCAGCCTCCTGAGTAGCTGGGACTACAGGTGTGCGTCACCACGCCCAGCTAACTTTTGTATTTTAGTAGAAATGGGGTTTCACCGTCTTGGCCAGGCTGGTCTCGAACTCTTGACCTCAAATGAGCCGCCCACCTCGACCTCCCAAAGTCCTGGGATTACAGGCGTAAGCCACCATGCCTAGCCTTCCACATCTTTTGTGGGGGACACAATTCAAACCGTAACAGGCGTGAGCCACCACACCCGGCTAAATCTAAAATTTTTAAATGAATAATCTTTTAAAAATTGAAAAAAAAAAAAGATGATTCTGGAAGTACATTGAAGGAAGCTGGTCAAAGAAGCTATATTTCAGGGTCTATTTGTTTGTTTGTTTGTTTGTTTGGAGACAGGGTCTCGCTCTGTCACCTAGGCTAGAGTGCGGTGGTGCAATCACAGCTCACTGCAGCCTCCATCTCCAGGGCTCAAGTGCTCCTCCCGCCTCAGGCTCCCATGTAGCTGCGACCACAGGCCCATACCACCATGCCCAGCTAATTTTTAAAATTTTTTTGTAGAGACCTGGGTCTCCCTATGTTTATCCATGCTGGTCTCGAACTCCTGGGTTCAGGGATTCCTCCCCACCTCCCCCAAGCCTCCCAAAGTGTTGGGATTACAGAGAGTGAGCCACGGGGCCGGCCCAGGAATCTATATATCATTGAATCTCCTCAACAGTCTATGAGCTAGGTAGCATTATCCCCATTTTTCAGAGGGAGAAACTGAGGCACAGACAGGTGAAGTTCCTGGCTGAGGGTCCCACCACTGGGGCCCCTCCATGCCCTGTCTCCGCTTGGGGTTCAGGAGCCTGAGATCTGGCTGCACTGTTCCAGAGACTGAGGAGCAGGAATGGAAGAATCAGGATGGAGACAGACCCGCCCATCCCAGGGGACATAGCCCTCCAAGCCGGCCTCGCCTCCCTACCCTAGGAGCTTGACCAATGGCAGAGACAGAGAATGGGAGCGGCGGCTCAGACCTGTAATCTCAGCACTTTGCAGGCCAAGGTGGGCGGATCACCTGAGGTCAGGAGTTTGAGACCAGCCTGGCCAACATGGTGAAACCCCATCTCTACTAAAAATACAAAAATTAGCTGGGCGTGGTGGTGGGTGCTTGTAGTCCCAGCTACTCAGGAGAATCGCTTGAACTCAGGCAGTGAGGCGAGATCGCGCCACTGCACTCCAGCCCCGGCGATGAAGTGAGACTGTCTCAAAAGAAAGAAAAAGAAAAGCCATAACTTTTGCAGGCCGCCACTAGACCGACCCTTGCCCCACCTGGTCCTTCCCTTCTTGGGTTTTGGCCCCCCATGTTCTCCCGCAGCCCAATCACTCAAGAGCCCCTCGCCCTCTGTACCCCTTCCCAGGCGCCCTCCCTGCTTGGGCACCATCTCAGGGATCCCCACCCCATCATGCCCTACTCCCTCGGGGCTCCCGCCTCATCGCCTCCATTCCCCCCTCCTCCAACCCCTTCGGGACTCCTGCTGCCTGTCTACCCCCTCCCGGGGTTTCCCTGTTGGTTCAGGGCTGTGGGGGATTCCCCTTCCCCTTCTGGGCTCCCCTTTCCCCACTTCAGTTCTCCCCTCCTCCTAGCCCCAGGCGGGATCCCCTCCCCCCTCCCCCCTTCTCCCTCTGGGACTTCCCCCTCCCTCTCTCGCCCTCCCCCGCCGGGGCTCCCCCGATCCCCGTGACTCCCAGGGAGCCGCTGGGGTTTTCCTCATGCGCCCACGTGAGGCTCCGTGGAAAGGTCGCGGCCTGCGGGCAGGACCACCCCACCCTCTCCACACTCCTCCTTAGTTCTCAGGCTTGGGGCTGCATGGCAGAGGGGAGCCAAGGTCGTCCCTGCGCCCGGCCAGGGCGGGCCCATCCTGCAGACCCGGGGCGGGAAGACTGAGGCCGGGCACGGAAGGGCTGGGCCACGCTCCCAGCCTGGGGCAGGGGGAGTCACCACCGCGCCTGCAACTTTGGGAGAAGTAGGAGGTGGCTGGCCAGGGCTCGCAGTTTCGGTTTAGAGGCAAAACGCAGCACTGTGCCAAGGCCAGCTGGCCCGGAGGCCGACTTCCTGGGGTATTTTTCTGCTTGTTGATTTTAGTTTGCGGAAAAAAAAAAAAAAAAAGTTCTTTTCTTTAGTGCAAAAGAGAGGCCTATCCTGGGATGGAGACGGCTGTGGTGGGTGCGGGGCACTCCCTGCGGAATCCTCCAAAGGAGCTCTTCCTTGCAAGTCCTGAGCTCACCTCGCTGTGTGGTCCCAGGTGCCCCATTGACCGCTCTGGACCTTGGGCTGCGGTGGCGGCCGCCGGGGCGGTCAGGGGCTGCAGCCAGCACCCCCTCCCGCCGAAATGCCTCCATATGTGCCCAGAGCTTAGGGCTGGCTCCTGCACAGCCAGTAACAGCGGTGGCACGGCGGCCAGGTTTCGTAATAAACCGGTCTCTTAATTGCTACAGGGTAGGAGGAGAGGAAAAAAAAAAAAAAAGAGGCATAGATTTGTTGGAGTCGGTGGAGGCGCCTGCTGCAGAGAAGAGGTACTGTTTTGCACGGGAGCCTGGAGCTGCTAACAGGGGTTTGAGTAACACTTCCTGGTGAGCTGGCAGGGGTTGCGGAGGAGAGGTGGGGAGGGGGGGTGTGAAGCGTGTCCCAGGGGAGGGGGCAGGGGTCCCGGTTGTTCTCAGAAGCCGAAAACATACAAGCACCCAGAAGCTTTAGAAATTTATTACAAGGTCATCAGAGTAGAAATAAAAATATAGATATCTGTGCTTCCCATCTCGCTCTCAGTGGTTCGAGTAACAAGTGCAAGTAACAAAATAGATTGTCTCTATGATTCGCAAACTGGGAGTTCATGGGTACAGAGCAACTTCGGCCCCAGCTCCCAAGTCCCAAAGTGTGGTCTTGTCGAGGGTGCAGACAAGCACCAACCAAGTTCAACCAGGTCTCTAGTCTGCAGACGCCAGCTCCAGTCTCAAGGAGGGTGGGGGTTGCAGTCAGTCTCACTCCACCCTCAAGTGGAGAGTCTGGACCTTCCATGATAGGGAAGGCGGCAGCGTGCCCCGCCCCTCCAGCTTCTGCTCCATCCCAAGGCCTGAGCTCCGGGGTCCTGTCTCCTGCTGGCCTGGGTCCCCACTTCTCCTCCATCGGATCGGCGGCCGCCAGCTCCCCGATCTCCGCCCTGGGGGCGGCCACTCACTCCCCTTCTCCTCCTCCTCCTCCTCCTCTTCAGTCTCCAACGACTCTGCCCCCGATGGTTTCGTGGGTTGGGTTGTTTTGGGGGGGTTGTGCTGGGGGGGAGGGGGGTTCAAATATTTATTTTATTTTTTGTTTTTGGCAGCAACTCAACAGGTTCTGCTGCTGGGAAGGGCCTCAGCGTTCCTGAAGAGAGATGTAGGGCACCCACTGGTTGTTGCCCCGGCTTTCTTCGCAGTAGCTGGCTACCTCCACCAAGCCGTGGCTCTTCCAGGCGTCCGTGTGAGGGTTCTGTGGGAGGGGAAAAGAAGGGGTTTAGTGGGAGCCTCCCTCTCCCAAGGCCCCATGTGTGGGGAAAACAGGCAGGCTCAAAATAGCTCCCTGGGTGAGGAGGCCCCAGCCCGGCTGCCCACGGGACATGCCAAGCATGGTTGAACGCTGAGCTGTGCAGGACCAGTCAGCCCGACTTTGTTGACAAACACCAGCCCAGGTGCCCGGGCGTGGCAGGTCAGGGCAGAGGCCCAACTCACCGTGACCAGGAGACAATGCAGGTCTCGGGCCTCAGTGGTGCCCTGGGTCTCGGCCGGCTCTCCCAGGAGCTGTGCCAGGCGCTGCATGCCCGACACCCGCATGATGTTAATGTCGTTGTCGCAGCAGAAGGACTGGATGAGCGTGAAGTGGATTTGCAGGGCGATGTCATCCTCCTCCTCCTCGTCAATGGCCAAGAGGCAGAGGACCACGCTGTCTGGGTCCCTGAGGGGGCCAAAGGGAAGGGGTGGGTCAGCCGGGAACAGGGGAGAGGCCACCGTGCAGGGGGAGTTTGCAAAAAAAGGAGCGTGCAAGAGCAAAAGAGAAACTGCAGGGGTGCAGGGGATTGCCTCTGCAAGCTGGTGACGGTGGGGGGCGGGGAAGGCACACGGTTCAAAGTGTGGGGTGTGGGGAGACAGGCCCACAGCGGGAGGGGCGCTTGCAGACGATGCATCAGGATACGGCAGCCCCCAATCCACAAAACAGCAGAGGAGCTCTGCATCCACAGCGGGTGGCACTTGGGGAAGTCCCAGCCCCATGCGAGACAAGCGTGTGGAAAGCGTCCAGAGCGGAGGGGAGGTCCCGTCCCACCCGCGCCCGGCCCGGGGAGGGGGTCTGACTCACACATTCATCAACTTGGCCGACTCGTACACCCCCACTGTGAGGCGATCCTGGCGCTGAGCGGCCACCAACAGCTCCTCCACCGCGGCGGTCACCGTCTGCATCCTGAGGCCAGGAGAGAGGGATCAGTGACGGGCGGACCACCGGGTGCTACATTCCGCTCCCGGCCCGGCCCAACCCGACCCATCCCGTCCCGGCCGACCTCAGACGGCGGCGGCCCCGGCTACTTACTTCTGCGCCGCGTTGTCGCACGCCACGAGCTCTTCCAGCGTCATGTTGCAATTATAATCCACAGTGGACGCGGCTCCACGACAGTCCCCAGGGAGAAATTGCAAAATCCGCGCCAGAGAGCCCAAAACCTTCCCACGGAGCTGGAGCGCTCGTCCAAGACCTTCGGGAAGCAGCGAAATCCTTCCAGAAAAGGCGGAAAAAAATGTTGCAAAGTCCTTGGCGAAAATAATCCGGGAAGTTGCAGAAACCAACCGTAGTCCGAAGCCTCGGCGATCTGAGCCGGGAGCCTCCGGCACCGACTTTTATAGACTTGACGGCTGGGGCGTGGCCTCAGTGGAGTCATTCACCCCTCCTATTGGTGGAAGGACAACGGAGAGTGCAGACAGCTCTGCGGTTGGCCGACGGCGGGGAGGGGGCGGAGCGCCGTGTGGGGGCGCCCCACGTGGGGGCGAGAACCGGGAGGAGGGCGCGCGGGGGCCGGGTAGGTGACCGCGAATGCCAGAAAAGAAAAAAAAAAGCAGAAGTTTTTTTCTCCTGATTTCCCGGCAGCCGAGCCGCGGTTCGGGGCGCGCGCGGGATTTCCAGCGCGCGAGGCGGCCCGGACTTTCGCCGGGGGGGGCCTGGAATCCCCTCCCGATGCGCGGAGAGTCCCGGACTGCTCCTTTCCCAAGTTCTGCTGGGGGTGGAGGGGCTGCACCGGGAAGGGGCCCCGTTTGCAGCCTGATCTCGCCCAGGTGGTGGTGATGACCGGAGTCTCTCCTGGCTGCGGCGACCCCAGCCCCTGGGTGATTTCGCTTTTCCCGGCCTCTATATTCCTGTCTGAGTAATGGGGCTGCAGCGCCGGCCTCGCTGGTTTGCAGAGCATGACATAAAATACGGCTGACAGTAAGCGCTCAATACACATCATCTGTCACCTGGTGGACGCGGGAGGCCTCCTCCAGGGCCCCGAAAGTGGGAGGTTGCAAAGCCCGGGGCACTCTGGAGAAGAAAGCGGGCGCCCCCTCGCCGACCCCGCGAGTTTCAGGGTGGGGCGCGCGTGGGAGGTGCAGGTGGCGTGGCCCCGCCCCCGCCAGCTGCCTGGCGTTCCAGGCTTTGCGCGTGCGGAGGCCTCCAGGCCGAGGAGAAAGCCATTGTTGGGGGGAATGGTGCAGGCTGCGGCTGCACGCCGCCACCCCAGGCCCACGTGCAAGGATGACGGCCACCTTTATTTCTCACTCCGGGGTGGGCGCTGACCTGCACTGAGCGTGGTGCGGATCTGGCACCCTCCACCCCTCCCGATTCATGGATGATTTAATCCAAGACCTGAGAAGCAGGGGAGATGCTTATGTGCATTATGCAAAAGGGTAAACTGAGGCTTGGTGAGGCCACAGGCTAGTTCGTGTTGGAGCCACGCCTGTGCGCCAGGCACGGCCGCCTGCAGGACTCCGCCGCCCCAGGAAGGCTGCTTAGGAACGAGGCGGGCAGGCCCCGCATGACAACGTCTCCCACGGTCGACTGGGGGCTCCCGGGTGACTCACATCTGAGTCCCCTCCCCCGCCAGCCTGGGGTCTGGCCTCGGCCCTGCGGCTCGGTTTCCCCGGTTCCCCGGCTCCCTGGCCCGCGAGCCCAGCTGACGCATCCCGCCTCCTCCGCGCCGCCCACCGCCGGGGGGCACGAAATGTCCCGGGGCTGCGAGGCGCGGCGGCGCCATCTGGTGGCCGCGCAGAGTTTCTGCGCCCTCAGCGCCGGAAGAGAGGGATGGACGGGCGGGGCACTGGGCTGGAGGCGGGGGATAAGGGGACCGTGGCAGTTGCAACGTTTCATATAATTTTATATATGCAATGTTTTACGCAGGCAACATATATATTTATATTTTATAATTTAATTTTAAAAATTAAATCGGCCGGGAGCGGTGGATCACGCCTGTAATCCCAGCACTTTGGGAGTCCTAGGCGGGCAGATCAACTGAGGTCAGGAGTTCCAGACCAGCCTGACCAATACGGCCAACATGAGCTGAAGATAGGGAAGGTCAGGGAGGTGAGTGGGATAAGTGCAAAGTCAGATTCTGTCTTTTTTTACAATTTTGATATTTTGTTCCCTCACGCTGGGATTACAGGCGTGAGCCACCGCGCCCGGCCTGATTTTTGTTTTTAAAAAGTATTGCAGGCTGGGTAATCCCAGCACATTAAGAGGCCAAGGAGAGCAGATCATGAGGTCAGGAGTTCGAGACCAGCCTGACCAACATGGTGAAACCCCGTCTCTACTAAAAGCACAAAAATTAGCTGGGCATGGTGGCGCGTGCCTGTAATCCCAGCTACTCAGGAGGCTGAGGCAGGAGAATGGATTGAACCCAGGAGATGGAGGTTTCAGTGAGCTGAGATCATGCCACTGCACATGGCATGGTGACAGAGAGAGATTCCATCTCAAAACAAAAGGCCGGGCACGGTGGCTCACGCCTGTAATCTCAGCACTTTGGGAGGCCGAGGCGGGCAGATCACCTGAGGCCAGGAGTTTAAGACCAGCCTGACCAACATGAAGAAACTAAAATACAAAATCAGTCGGGCATGGTGGCACATGCCTGTAATCCCAGCTACTCTGGAGGCTGAGGCAGGAGAATGGCTTGAACTTGGGAGACAGAGGTTGCAGTAAGCTGAGATTGCAGTGAGCCGAGATCGTGCTAGAGTGAGACTCTGTCTTTAAAAAAAAAAAAAGAATGGGGTGTGTTGTGTACACCTGTAATCCTGGCTACTCCGGAGGCCGAGGCAGGAGGATCACTTGAGCCCAGGAGTTCCTGGCTGCAGTGAGCCAGACTTGCACAATTGCATTCCAGCCTGGGCAACAGAGTGAGACCCCATCTCAAATAAATAAAATAAGGGCTGGGCACAGTGGCTCATGCCTGTAATCCCAGCACTTTGGGAGGCTGAGGCAGGTGGATCGTCTGGGGTCAGGAGTTCAAGACCAACCTGGCCAACACGGTGAAACCACGTCTCTATTAAAAATACAAAAATTACCAGGGCATGGTGGTGCACGCCTGTAATCCCAGCTAATCGGGAGGCTGAGGCAGGAGAATCGCTTGAACCTGGGAGACAGAGGTTGCAGTGAGCTGAGATTACGCCACAGCACTCCAGCCTGGGAGACAGAGCGAGAATCTGTCTCAAAAATAAAATAAATGAAATAAAATAAGGCGAGCAAAGCAGGGCCTCAGAAAATTTGTGTCCAAGTCCTTCCTCTGTGTGTCCCCCATGCCAGTCATAACAACCTCCTCTCCAAGAGGCCGGGCCTTTGTCAGCTTTTTCCTCCACCTGAGATGCTGTCTTCCTCTGGTTTTCACCAGGAAAATCCTACTTCTCTGTCAACACTGACTTGGCCTTGTTTTCTCCCAGACCAACTGCCGGGTCTCCCATGGTCCCCCACCCTACAGCCTTCTCTTTCTAGACCCCAAGCCCTCCTGTGCCTCCCTTTTCCAGTCCTGGCTCCAGGCATCTTGGAATATCTGGAGTATCTTGGAATATCCGCAAGAGACTCTGAACTCTGTGCCTTTGAGCTCAGAAAATGAGCTCCAGCCGGGCCAGGCGCGGTGGTGGTTCACGCCTGTAATCCCCAGCACTTTGGGAGGCCAAGGCGGGCGCATCACCTGAGGTCAGGAATTCAAGACCAGCCTGGCCAACATGGTGAAACCCCATCTCTACTAAAAATATAAAAATTAGTCAGGCATGGTGGCGCATGCCTGTAGTCCCAGCTACTCAGAAGGCTGAGGCAGGAGAATCGCTTGAACTTGGGAGGTGGAAGTTGCAGTGAGCCGAGATTGTGCCATTGCACTCCAGCCTGGGCAACAAGAATGAGACTCGATCTCAAAAAAAAAAAAAGAAAGAAAGAAAATGAGCTCCAGTCTCAGTTTCTTTCTCTGTAAGATGGGAGCAGTCACACTAAGGCTTCATCAGAGACATTGAAGGATCAAATTCCCACAATCAGGTAAGCGTTCAGGAAATGTGCGCTATTATCTTTGGGCCTGGTGCCAGAGATCACCTCTGTAATCCCAGCACTTTGGGAGGCCGAGGCAGGAGGATTGCTTGAGCCCAGGAGTTTGAGACCAACCTGGGCAACATAGGGAGACCCCATCTCTACAAAAATTTTAAAAGTTAGCGGACCATGGTGGTGCACACCTGTAGTCCCAGCTACGTGAGAGGCTGAGATGGGAGGATCACTTGAGCCCGGGAGTTTAAGGCTGCAGTGAGCTATGATCATGTTACTGCACTCCAGCCTGGGCAACAGAGCGAGATCCTGCATCTAAAAATAAAATAAAGTAAAAGATGAGATCAATAACAGAGTCACCGAGACCATCTTGGAGCCTGAGGTGAGAGGAATAATCGATATGCGTAATCCTGTCATAATTTTCTTTCTTTCTTTCTTTCTTTTTGAGACAGAATCTCAATCTGTCACCCAGGCTGGAGAGCAGTGGCGTGATCTCAGCTCACTGCAACCTCCACCTCCCGGGTTCAAGTGACCCTCCTGCCTTAGCTTCCCAAGTAGCTAGGATTACAGGTGCCCTCCACCACACCTGGCTAATTTTTTGTATTTTTAGTAGAGATGGGGTTTCGCCATGTTGGCCAGGCTGGTCTCCAACTCCTGACCTCAAATGATCTACCTGCCTCGGCCTCCCAAAGTGTTGGAATTACAGGTGTGAGCCACCTCACTCGGCTTTAAACAAAATAAATTTTAAAACAGTTATCCAGCATAGAGGTTTTTGCATTCATTTAAATTAAGAACGACAACAAAAAACGTGGCCAGGGCCGGGCGCAGTGGCTCACACCTGTAATCCCAGCACTTTGGGAGGCTGAGGCGGGCAGATCACGAGGTCAAGATATCAATATCCTCTAATGAGATTGGTTTCTTTTTCTTTTTCCTTTTTTTTTTTTTTTTTTTGAGACGGAGTCTCGCTCTGTCGCCCAGGCTGGACTGCAGTGGCCGGATCTCAGCTCACTGCAAGCTCCGCCTCCCGGGTTCCCGCCATTCTCCTGCCTCAGCCTCCCGAGTAGCTGGGACTACAGGCGCCCGCCACCTCGCCCGGCTATTTTTTTGTATTTTTTAGTAGAGACGGGGTTTCACCATGTTAGCCAGGATGGTCTCGATCTCCTGACCTTGTGATCCGCCCGTCTCAGCCTCCCAAAGTGCTGGGATTACAGGCTTGAGCCACCGTGCCCGGCCATCTTTTTCCTTTTTGAGA